CAGAACTAGGAGCAATGAGGTAGATGTTTCAGTGATGTAGATTTGGGTCTGATGTTGAGGAAAAAAATTATAATAGAATGGGCTGCCCAAGGAGGGAAGACCCCTTTGGTAGAGGCCTTCAGGCAGAGGCTGGATACCTTCCTGCTTATGTTGTCATTGGCATTCTTTTGAAGCATATGTTAGACTAGAGGACGTCTGAGCTCCCTTCCAAATTTGAAAATTGTGACAATGTGGAGCTGGACAAAAGGAAAGAGAATAGGATTGCAAATATACATTTAGGTGACTGTAAACAAATTTAGAGGTGGTAATTGAATATATAGGAGCTGATGAGGTCATCAAGGATGTTATCTCACCCAGTTGGAATGGAAGCCCCTTGAGGGCAGGGGCTGTCTCATCATATCACAGTGCCTACAGAATAGTAAGTACTTAATAAAAGCTTTTTCTTTTTCTTTTTTTTCAATAAATTTTTATTGATAGCTTTTTTTTTTTAAAAACACCAAAATTTATCCTAGAATCCCTTGCTCTTTTCCTCTTGAGAGCTAGGTGATGTAGCATGTGAAGTACTGAGCCTAGGAGTCATGAAGACTTGAGATCAAATTAAGCCTTAAATACTGTGTGGACTGGGGCAAGTCACTTAACCTGTCTGCCTCAGTTCCGTCAAATGTAAAGTAGGAATAATAATAACACCTATCTCCCAGGGTTATTGTGAGGGTTATATGAAACAACAGTTGTAAAGTGCTTAGTGTAGTGCCTGGAACATCCTATATAACAATATTTTTTAAAAGCAAAGAAGAGGAAAAAAATAAGTACAACTGCTCAATACATAGAATAAGTCTGAAAATACATTCAATGTACCATACTTGTGGACCTATTTGTTCATATCAGCAGACCACTTATCTGTTGGGAATAGCTTTTTTTTTTTTTTTTTTTTTGTTAAATATTTCCCTGGGAGTTGATCTGCCAGATTGCTTTCCAGTTTTCCCAGAAGTTTTATCAAATAATGAATTCTTTACTAAGTAATTTGTATTTTTTCCAGTTTATCAAAGAACATTGGTTCATTGAGTTTCATTATTCCTTATTTTCTCTTGTCTAGTCTGTTTCATTGATTTACTTCTTTCTAATATATACTTTTAAAAAACTAACTAATCAATTGGTTCATCCAAGAGAGTACCATCACAGAAACTGAGGAAGGAGAGTATTGATAAAGGTGAATGGGGCTGGCAGTGTCAAAAGCTGTGGAGTTAAAGTAGAATAAGGATTGAGAAAAGACTAAGTTTTACAGTTCAGAAGCTCTTTAGAGAGCAGTTTGTGGAATGGTCAGGTGAGAAGCTGTGTGGCAAGGGGTTGAGAAGTGATTGGGAGGTAAAGAGAGGTATAGAGTCTAGACGTTGGGTTGTGAAAGAGAGAAGGGATGAAGTCAAACTGAGCCCTGTGATATTAGGAGCTACCTGATCTGTAGTTTAAAGACTGGATAATTGACTGATGTTAACAGTTTAAGAGTATTTAAACCCTGAAACAGTGACAACTTCTCTCCTGAGAAATGAACTATGAAGGGCCAGAGTAAGAATGGTTTAGGTGACCCTTCTACGTCATCTGCAAGATTTCAACTTTGGCCGGTGAGGATTGTAGGCTGCTTTGGCTGTTGGCTCTGGGCTGTACTTATTTGCTCTCTCATGAAGGCTATTTAAAGTAATAACTAGATTTTCAGAACAGGTGCCTTCCAGCAAATATTATTTTTAGTTTGATCTGACATCAGAAGAAGATGTCAGGCTCTTGTGTAAAAGTTTTAAAATTATTCACTTGGGCATTGATGAATAAATGGGTCTTGACACTAAATGAAAAGTTGCTTCTTCCTTTCATCTGTATTTGCTCAGCAGTTCAGCGACAATTTTCTCCTCCTATTGGTTAATTAAAAGCAGCATTTTATAGCTTAATTGGTCTCCCCCCCCCCCCCATTATGCAGTTGGGGTTAAGTGACTTGCCCATGGTCACACAGCTAGTACTTGTCAAGTGTTTGGTCTGAGGCCGGATTTAAACTCAGGTCCTGTGCTCTATCCACTGTGCCATCTAGCTGCCCCTTAATTGGTCTTAAATTGCTAAGTGAAAACCTATTTAGATTGGAAGTGGAGATAGCTGAACTAGGTGGAGCCAGATAAGCTGATGAGGTTTTGGCATGTGGAGCAGAATTTTTGCTCCAAAATGAGGATTTGAGGATGTGTAGTGTCTTTTTTTTCCCTGAGTTCTAAAAATCTCATTTCTTGTTAGTTGTCAGATGGTGTACTCAAAGCCCTGGAGGTTGCCTTTGAGCACCAAGCTCCCTGCCCCCCCCCTTCCCCCTTTTCAATAACAGGCTTCTGGCTAAAATGATGAGGTAATATCTTTCTATTGCATTGTTGTCCTTGAGTGAGTCACTATGTTTTTTAGAAAATTATACCCATGGTATTTAACTTTTGGGGAAGCAATAGTTTTTCCTTCGTTTGAATTGAATGTGTTATTGCTATAAGAACCAAATAGAACTAAAATCAGATGAATTTTAAAAATAATTTCAGACATCTTAATTTCTGAAGTACTGGCATAATACTGGTGGGTATTTTACACGTGAATTGTTCCTTATACACAGGACAGTGTTCTTAAACTCTCCAGGTTTGGAGCTCCTTTTTATGGTGCCTTCTTGACCCTTTTTTAAAAGATAAGATTGGAATAACAAGTCTTTGTGAAAAGAACAGATTTAGATAGAATTTGAGGCCGTCATTATTGGCATTAAAAGGATCTTACTGAGGCTTTAAACCATATTTATTAGTAATCTTACTGATGCTTTAAGCCATATTACTTAGTTAGAATCTTGTTTTCAATAAACATTTATTATGTTCTTACTGTGTGTTAGGGCCCTGGTATATAAAAACAAAAATGACAGTTCCTGCTTACCAAGGACCTTATATTCTATTGGTGGAGACAGGCTGTACATGCTTAAAGATAAAAGGAATAAAACACTTTCATTTTATCTCTTTTCTCTCTCCTATCACCCCTTATAACAAAGATTAAAAAAAGAAAGAAGGGGAAAGAATTCTTCAAAATCACATCTATTGTATCTCTGTGTAGTATTCCACACCTATAATCTCCTACCTTTGCAGTAAGGGCAGGGCAGTACATTTTCTCAGCTCATCTTCCTACTGAGTTTGCTCATTAACAATTATAGTTATTCTTTTTTTGTCCTTGCCAGTAACATTTTTGTAGTAATGTGTACGCTGTTTTCCAGTTTAGCAGATCATAGAAGTCTTTATATTGATCACTAATGTTCCATTACATTTAAGTTCCCTTAGCCATTCATCTCTCAGTTGATGGACTTGATTGAAGCTTAAAAAAAGAACCAAAATGTAATCACTTTCTAGTACTACCTTTCCCTTGTGACAAAGTCTGTCTGCTTAACTGCCTGCAGCATTCTACATCTGTCCACTGCCTCTGGAATCAAAATGGATCATTAAGTTAATCATAATTCATTTTTTTAATGTTATTTTATTGTATATGTGTTGCTTTCTTCACCCTTTTTCAATTCATGCAAGTCTTTCCAAATTTCCTTGAATTCTTTGCATTCATTATTTCTTATTCAATAATTCCATTATATTCACTTGCTACAGTTTTTCAGCCATTTCCCAAGCAGTAGGCATCTACTTTATTTCCCACTTTTTTTTGCTGTGACAAAAAGGATGCTCTGAATATTTTGGTGTATATGGGACCCTTCTTTTTGTCTTTGACCTCCAGTTACCTTTTGTGCATAATTCCAAATTGTTTTCTAAAGCAGTTGGACTAATTCACTATTTGATTTATATTTTTCAGCAGTTGAGGGATTTGCCAGTTTGTTTCTGTTTTTGAACTAGACATTAATAGGACTGTCACTTTTGTTGATAAACCATTAAAAATTTAGACCTTATAGCCTCTTTCCTAAGATGTAAAGAAAGGAAATAAAATTAGCAAGTACTTCTGTTTACTTAGGTGGGTTATACTGATCTTAGGGATGGAAAATAAAAACTTTTGGTATATGGATTCAACGAACATTATTTTTATGATTATACTTGTTCACATTTTCCATGAACTTGTTTAGAAGGGATTATAGTCAGTATATAGTTCAGATAAAAATTTAGGCTATGAAAAGAAGCAATTATGAACTTTGTATATTTCTCTAGGAACTAGGAGATCAAAAAGATTTGGTGCTCCATAGTCTAGTATTTATATTCTGCTATAGTGGTTAAAATGTGACCACAGAAACTTATATCTTTTATAAAGTTCTGTTAACTTTAGTGCAGGATGCTTATAAATTTTCAGATTATCAGAAAATTAGGGTACTGATTCCTTCATTTTTTTTTTAAGTTTTATTTTTTAAAATGAATTTTTATTGCTATATTTTATTTTTGAATCAGGTATATTTCTTTTTATCCATGTGACTGATCATGGGTTTTTCCCAAGGCTCTGTACTGAACCCTCTTCTTTTCTTCCACTCTGCTATTTTGCTTGGTGAAATCACCTCCCATGGATTTAATTTTCATCTTTATGCAGATAATTTTCAGGTCTGTTCATTCAGCTGTAACTTCTGTCCCGACCTTCATTCTCTCATCTTAGACTGCCTGTTGGGGATTTAGAACTGGTTATCCTGTGGACTTTTTTTTTTTTTTTTTTTTGAGGCAGTCAGGGTTAAGTGACTTGTCCAAGGTCACACAGCAGTAAGTGTCTGAAGCCGAATTTGAACTAAGGTCTTCCTGTTGCTAGGGCGGGTACTCTTTTCACTGTGCTGCCATTTCCGGTAGACTCTAAAATTCAACATGTGCAAATGTACAAAACTAAATTCATTATCTTTCTTTCCAGCCTCCCCGTCTTCCTCACTTATTACATTTGAGGGTACCACTATTTTCCCAGTAAACCGGGTGGGTGACCTAGGTGTCAATTTTGACTTCTCAGTGTTCAGTTGATTTACAGGTTCTTTTTTTTTTTTTTTTTTGCCTTCTCAGCATCTCTCCTTCCCTTTCTTCTCCTCTGATACTGCCACCACCCCAGTCTGCATCACCTCAAGGCCTGGACTGTTGGCATTAGCCTTCTGGTGAGTCTCCCAGCCTCAAGTCTCTCCCTACTTCAGTTCATCATCCACTCAGCTACCAAAGAGATCTTTCTAAAATATAGATCTGAACATGTCATCCTCAATCTCCTACTCAGTTAACTCCAGTGGCTCCTTGTGGCCTCCAGGAGCAAATATAAAATCATCTTTTCATAATCAAGTCACTTTCCACCTTTCCAATCTTCTTATACGTTACTCCCTAGCATATGTTCTACACTCTAGTGACCTCCTCACTGTTCCTCCTACAAGACACTCTATCTCCTGACTTTGAACCTTTGTACTGGCTGTTCTCCATCCTTGGAATGCTTTCCTTCCTCCCTTCTTCCTGGTTTCTTACTTACCTGAAGTCTCTGCTAAAATTTCACCTTTTGCAGAAGCCTTTCTTAGTCTCCCTTAATGCTAATGTCTTCCCTTTGAGATTACCTCCAGTTTACCCTTTATAGATCTTGTATGTACATACTTGTTAGTTGGCCCTCCCATTAGAATGTAAGGTCTTTGAGGACAGGGACTAGTTTGGCCTTTCTCTGTATTCCTGTTGCTTAGCAGCGTCTGGCACATAAGAAGCATTTAGTAAATGCTTGTTAACTGACTGACTTTGATCTCATTTACCCCCAACCCTCCGTAGCCATCCCTTAGAATAAAGAATTAAAAAAAGTTCAGCAGAACCATCCAACACATCCAAATGGACATTATATGCAACATTCCATTCCTGTGGACAGGGAATGAATGTCTTTTCACATCTGTTTTTTGGGGCCAAGCTTGATCATTATCATTTTGCAGCACTTAGTTTGTTCTGTTGTTCATTGTTGTCCTGGTCCCTTTTTACTTCGCTTTGTTTCACTTGCCCAATTGTGCAAGAGCCTCTGGTGGCCACCAAATCATAGGGAGGCACTGGAGAACTTAGCAATACTGACCATAAATCATTATAAAGAAATGCTTCTTTCTCTACTCCATTGCTTTTGACTCTATGTGAACTCTAGTTAAGGCTACCTTCTTCAAGTTGTAAGATCAGCTTAAAATGCTTTCGGTTATACTTCACTATCCTAATAGAGGATGGTTTATTGAAGAATTTTTACAGGAGATTCTCATTTGAGTTTAGCATTTTTAGAAGCTAAAACTACTTGTGCATCTATGAATTAGACATATTCAAGAAAATTATTAAATGAAAACTTGGCATCTGGGTGTCCTCCCCAAATTCTTTCTCATTTTTTATGTTTAATGTTCATGGCTTGATGTTTGTTTAATTGAACAGAATCAATCATGTTTAACACTCCCTTTAAGTGTAGTGGGAAATACCTTGCCTGTTACTTTTGGTCATGGTTCATGTTGTAAAATTCACTAGTTTGGGATTAATAGCTACCTGCAGAATGAAAATTATAAAACAAAATAAAACTACCTCCAGCTGTTTTTTAAGTCCTTTCATAGGCATAGCAGGTTGAGTGGTAGAATACAAAACCTCAGGTTTGGAGCCTGGTCCTGTGTTCAGAACTCCTGATGACTTGTGTGACCCTGGGCAAGTCACTGAGCCACTTGTTTTCCTTCTCTGTAAAATGAGGAGTTTGAACTTGATGATTTTTGAAGCATCCTTATACCCTTAAATCTTACGGTCCTGATCTCCTCTCTTAGATTATAAGTTATGTAAAGTTATTTAGCCTGTAGATGTTGTCCTCCATCTCACCAAATGTTTACCTCTTAGTGGGGGACTTAAAAAATTTTTGGATGAATGAACAAGATGGCAGTTTGGAAGGAAGGGGCTTGGGGAACATGGGTTCAAATCATAGCTTTGCCACTTACTACTGCTGTCACCTTAAAAAAAAAATCCTTCAACCTTGCTGGGCCTTTGTTCTAGGAAACCAGATGAGATGACCTCTGTGGTCCCTTGAAACGCCAAATCTGTGATCCTACAAACAGGAATTTATTTATCCATTTATCTCTGTGTGTGTGTGTGTGTGTGTGTGTGTGTGTGTGTGTGTGTGTGTATCACTAACAACTGGAGGATTTATGAGAGCTTTTTTGAAGGAGGTTGCACTTGAATTGACCCTTGAAGAGATCTGGGGTTTTATAGAATTGGAGATGAGGAAGAGGGAGAGAATTCCACGTGTCGACAGCCTGTGCAGAGACATAGAAGGCTGGAATGTTGTGTACTGAAAATAGAGCATTGGCCTGTTTGGATGTAATGTAGCATGAGTAAAGAGGAGTGACAATTAGTTTGAAAAGGTAGATTGGAGTATTTTTTGGAAGGGTTTTGGTTTTTATATTTCTTTTTAAGTAGGAAGGGGGTGGGAGTGATAGAGGTGCCATAGGAAAAAGAAATTTATGTTGCTTACCTAGGTGACTACAAGAATGGTGACTGAAATAGGGAAGTTAGGAGGGGTACTTTAAGGGTAAAGGATAATAGATAATGTTTTGGGCATGTTGAGTTTGAAACACTTATGGCTTATCAAGTGGAGATACCTATCAGATATCTGGAGATGCAGGACCCTGGAACTCTGGAGGGAGAGACTATGTAGACTTGGGAGTCAATCTGAATAGAGAAGGTGGTTGAGGAATTTAGGTGGTAAAAGGGATAGATGCTGGTCTTGGTGTAAGGAACACCTGAGTTTAAATTCTGCCTTGGGCCCTTCCTAACTGTGTGATCCTAGTTAAGTCATTTAACCTCTCTTCACCTTAGTTTCCTCGTATGTAAAATATAGGGGTTGGAATAGATGAGCTCTAAGGTTCCTAGTAAGTGTCAAGTGTCTGAGGTCACATTTGAACTCAGGTCCTCCTGACTCCAAGGCTGGAGCTCTATCCACTGCACCACCTAGCTGCCCTGCCTTTGAACTCTTAATCTGTCTTTCTGTTATCCAATGGAAGCTCTGAAACTACAAACCCCGTCCCCTGCCCCCATAGGCCCCCCCCAAAATTGCAAAAGACACTGAGAGTAGGATTGGTCAGATGTTTTGGAAAATCAGAACAGAATGTGTCATGAAAACCAGTGAAGATATCTTGAAGGAGAAGGCAGCCCATGCTCCAAAGAGGTCAACACGTTTGAGGACTGAGAAGCTACTAAATACGTTTGCTTATAAATCAGTTTCGGAAAATAGAATAATAAAAACCAGAGTCCTCATAGAATGCTTAGAGATGTTCCAAAGTGTGGAAAGGACTGTCTTGGCATGGAGAGGCTTCCCCTTCACTCGAGATTTTCACTGCAGATGTTGAATTGCTGCTTGTAGGGATTCTTTTTCAGTCATGTGTTGGAATGGATGGTGTTTGAGATCACTTTCAACCTTGAGATTTTGTGTCTGCTCCACCTATCTCACAGGAAATTATGAAGATGCAGTAAAGTAATGAGTATGAGTATTTGTGAAGAGTAAAGTAGTGAGTATGAAAACATCTTGGTAAGCTTTAAAGCCTGTGTAAATATTAATGTTGTGTCGTTGTGCTCTTCGTCATATACTTGATAGCAGAGGGCTGGAAATGGTCCTGGGACTATTTTTTTTTTTTATGTTTAATGTTCAGCAGATTATTGTGCAGATGGCTACATTGATTGCTTTATATAATCGAATAAAAGTATTGGGATGGAAGCCCTTCTTCTTTAGGCTCACTTGAAAGCATCAGTAGACAACTCCAGTAATAGATAGGATGATGGGTATGTTTTATATTTGATACTTTCTCCACATGGTTTTGATTTTCTTCTGCTAAGTCTTTCTGTTTTGAGAGCTTTTCATTTCACATGGATTAGAGATTGCTAATGTTTAGTATGGTGACATCTTTTGAAAACATTTCTTAAAATTTTATGGGTCAGTGTTTTGTCAGATGATGCTTTGGTTCCAGAAGCTCATTTGTTAAATTTTCAAGTATATTTTGAGTTTTTTTTTTGTAGTGCAGTGATTTGTTGTTTGTTAATTTATGAAAGATAGTAAGTTTTTGGTATGTAATTCTGACCACTTGATTGTATGTTTCTTGATATTGGTGCTGAATTTTTGTAACCTGCGATAATATGGTTACAGCTTCTATCGTTTCCTTGCAGAACCTGCATAGATCAATAAATCTGAGCTCTTTGAGAATGACCTTTTAGTTATTTCTAGTGGCACTGACTTAGTTTTACATCTTAATATTAAATATCTGTTTCTATAGGCAAATTCTTATGACCTAGCTATTGGTCTGTGTTTTACTTGTTTGATTTTGTGGATATTGCGAGTTGCTTCTACTTTTGGATCTTAGCTCTTTCACAAGTTAGGAGTTAAACCAAAATGGGCTTTTGTTTATTTATTTTTTGTTTTCAACATTTCGCATTTCAACATTCACAACGTTCTTGAGTTCCAAATTTTCTGCCCATCTCGTCTCTCCCCCCACCCCAAGACAGCGTGCATTCTGAATACCCCTTCCCCTGATCTGCCTTCCCTTCTATCACCCTCCCCCGCTTCTCTTATCCCCTTTCCCTTCTGTGTTTCTGTAGGGCAGGATAGATTTCTATACCCCATTGCTTGTATATTTTATTTCCCAGTTGCATGTGAAAATAATTTTTTAACATTTGTTTTTAAAACTTTGGGTTCCAAATATTCTCCCTTCCTCCTTCCACCCACCCTCATTGAGAAGGCAAGCAACTCGATACAGGTTATACATGTGTAGTCATGCAAAACACTTCCATAGTAGTCATGTTGTGGAAAACTAACTATATTTCCCTTCATCCTAACCTGCTCCCCATTTATTCTATTCTCTCTTTTGACTCTGTCCCTCCTCAGAAGTGTTTGCTTCTGATTAATTACCCCCTCCCCTTCCCCCCTGTTTTCTTGTAGGGTAAGATAGATTTCCATACTCAATTGAGTGTGCATGTTATTCCCTCCTTAAGCCACATCCAGTGAGAGTAAGATTCATTCAAAATGGGCTTTTGTTAATTGTTTTTATGATACTTAGCTAAGCTCCTTCATTGAAATAATAGGACTTTTGGTTGATTTGGGTACAGGAAGGTAATTTTAGAGCATGTTCTTGGGATTGGGCAG